TCGTCCAGTTCACTGGATTCTGTTCTAACTCTGGGGAGGGTCTCTGAGCGGGATGAGATAAAGTGTCCCAATGATCTCCACCACCTGCACCAAGCATGATTTTGTAAGAATTGGCAGACCACACAGGAGTGCCTGCTAAATCTAGCCACATCCTGCCAGGTTCTAGGCCCCACCCCTTAAGCCTGACTGGCAGAACTCAGAATCAGGGATAGTCTCACCTGGGCAGGAAAGCCATCCTAGTCCCCAGATCCTGTGAATATGTAAGACTCCATAGCAGAGAGAAATGAAGGACACAGAGAATTACAGTCGCCGGCCAACTGTCCTGAAGCAAAGGGAATTCGCCTGGTTGGGCAATGAACCTGAGGTAAGCACGCGACTCCTCTAGCCGGAGGTAGAGGAGGGCTGGGAGGGAAAGGTGGCAGCCCTTTCTGGGGCCCAACACTGCCAACTTTAAATATGAAACAATGGGACCACAAGCCGAAGGATGCTTGCGGTATCCACAAGCTAGAGGGTGAAAGAAAACAGCTCTCCCTTCCTTGACTCCAGAAGGAGCTCAATACCCTGATGTTAGCCCGATTAGACTGTTTTGGGCTTCTGACTTTGAGAATTAGAAGAGAAACATTTCCGTTGTTTTAGGTCACTGGGTTATGATCATTTGTTATGGGTGGAACAGGGAATTAACACACATGGGTTACTGGAGAAGGCTTGTCTATATAGGGGAACAGAAAAGTGTTCATGAGCCAGGCGGGCTGGAAGAGAGGAGCTGAGAAAGCCACGGTGCTGCGGCCAGAGGAGCAGGTCCCTGGCCATCAGGGCACAGCACAGTCAGTCCTGCCCCACCCCTCAGCTTGCTCCAGACTTCCCTTCTGGCCCCAGATGCCCCTTCTGTCCTTGTCCTCGCCTATCACCTCCTCAGAGACCAAAATGGTCATTTCAGTGTGCAACTTCATCGCAAGGGTCCTAGAAGTCATATTTCCCAATTGTTGAGTACTAGTGAGAATTACAGTGCCCAGGACCATAGGGACCACAGGGCTCATAGAGCCAACATGGACCACATGGACCACAGGGCCCACAGGGCCCGCAGGGACCAGTCATGCTCCTTCATGCACACTGCTCTGACAGGTCTTCTGTCTATCAGCTTTATTCACTACAGCCTGGGGAAGATGGGAACACTGTCAGCCCTGCTGGTACTAAAATTCCAGAGCAGGAGCAAAGCAAGGGGCTGGGCAGGAGCCCTTGATGCCCTGAGTGATTCTCAAAGATGTTAACCCCGTTTTTCAGACTCACTAAAGCCAAAGGGCAGCGAACTCCCTTCCCTGCTGCCCAGCGTATTTAAGAGTTCTAAATGCCATGTCAATATCTGTGGTGCTGCACAAACATCTTCAGGCTTACTCACCGATCAAGGCACTGTGGAATCTTTGGTGCAAAACTTTTGGCATTTGCTGATACTTGATGAAAATAAGAACTGAAAACTGTCTCCACCTTAAGCGGATAGAACGTGAGGCTTTTGCTTTTGTGGATGTAACGGATCTGCAGAGGGCTGCAGGAAGGAACTCCACAAACACCCCAGAGGAGCTGACAGGAGACTACCCGGGAGCAGGAGGGGTAGACAGCCTGGCAACAGCCCTTGGGGCCAGGAAGTGGGGCGTGCCAACAAGCTGCCACTCAACACAGACCTCACAGGCCCGCTTTCTCACAGCCCAAAGTTCAGCTGCCTGAGCGGACCCTGGAGGCAGTCCCTGTTGCGTGTGCCCTGAAAGCGAATATTAGAAAGGGAAGCCTCCACTCACACGTAGGAAGCAGCAACAGCCTAGCGTTTCCCTAAAGCCCGCGAAGGCCGGGAGTCATGGGGTTTCCGGCTTCCCTGCAGATTGCACTGCAGGCCCACAGCAAGTACAGGAGACTGACTCACACAGCGAAACCATCCATCCCAGTGCGGCCACCTCAGAGCTGGGGAAAGCAGATAACGGCTCCCCCGAAGTCATGTCAACTGTTTTCTCAGAACATGTCAACAGGCCCACCACGGCTGTGAGAACTGGATCCCAACATAAATACCTCACGGGCTTAGAAACCCAAGAGGTTAAGCAGCCGAAAGCTGAACAAATGTAAGATCAAAGCCCTCAAACAGATCACAGGGTATTCTCGTCCCGGTCCCTAGAACCTGACATGTGAGGCTTCTTGTGTGAAACCTGTGAGTGCCAAGACAGGCTGGCAGACATGAAGAAGTTGGGAACTTGAGTGCCCTTATATGGGAGAGAAGAGAAGGGTGGCTTAGTGACTTGGCCCCAGAGCTCTACAGCGCCAGGAAGGAAGAAGCTGGAGGAGTTGAGGAGCAGCCACTTCCCAGGGCTTCCCAGGGAGTGGGACTGTGCCGGCGGCACCAGCATCTTGGCCCAGTGATCTTAACTTCAGACTTGTTACAGAGACGTGAGAGAATTCTCCTGTTATCCCGAACACTGCACTGGGGTTTTCTTCTGCTTGTCACAGGAAATTAAAGCACCGGTTATCTGCTTTGCCCTGCTACTGTCCCCTAGCCGACACTCACAGAGGACACCTAGGACGTGCTCGGGCCTATGATGGCACCCAAGGCTGAGACGGCTCCAGTGAGAGTGGTGTGCACAACATAGCTGATGGAAGACCAAACACTAGTGGCCCCAGGGGGCACCATCCTGGAAGTTTGTGGGCAGTGACATTTGTGTTCAAACCTGGAGACCAAGGCTGGATCTCAACAGGCCAAGGTGGGAAGCGGTCCAGCCCAGGATACTGAATAAAGGAGATGAGTGATTGGGGACAGGAGGGGCTGGAAGGGGGGCCCACAAATTAAGCAAGGGCCAGACCCTGGCAATGCACGCTGGTAGAGGGGGGCTAGACCACCGCTCTGTTGAAAGGCAAGGCCCTCTGTGCTGGGAAGACAGGCCATCCAAGAAACAGGTTTGGAGACAACGTAGGAATGGGACGCAACAGTGGCTGGGACGCTGAGGAGCAAGCGCTAAGCTGTCTTGATCTGCCACTGACTGCTGCTAGTGTGGGAAAAGAGAAAGGTCAGAGCCAGTCAGGAGGAGGGAGTGTGACAGGGCAGGAAGCAGCGGAGGGATATGGAGAAGGAAGAATTCAGGCTCCCTGAGCAGCAGGCTCCCCAACCATAATTCTGCTTCCCTCCCTTCAATTCTGTGCAGTTCCCCTCTGTGGTGGAGGATGGAGTCCCAGAAGTCCCGTGTTCCCATTGCAACAGACTGGAGATTGTGGCTTTATATGGTCCCGTGACTCCTGCTGCCATCCCTACTGGATGAGAAGCTACCACCATCCCACTGGGGCCTTGGCCAGGCACAGCCATTTGCATGTGGAGCCTGGTACTGGGGCTGGAGGAAGGACAGGGTCCGAGGGCCGCTTTGTTTTGATAAACCAGGAAAGGCTCTCTCAACTTGGTCTCTAGGGGAGGCCAGGGTTTTCTGGGAGGCCCATCAAGGTGATATGACTTTGATCTGCTCTAATTGGGACCAGGACCCAGGGTGACTACAACAGTTTCCTCCTGAAAAGCCAGGGTTAGGGACTTAGGGAGCCCGGTTGCTAAGGGCCAAGCCCATTAGCAGCCGGGTGAAGTCCACTAACTTCTTTGGGTCCCAGCCATTTAGGAGAATGGGATAATGCCCTCGAGCTAGCCCATCTGACAGTGTTGTTTATGCAAGCACAGAGAAAGGAGTTTGCCTGTTGATACAGAAGTGTATAGAAAGGGGAAGAGCCGCTCTTGAATGTGGTCTGTGACCCCCAACTGGCAGAGGCTGGGGAAAGAGGAGCCCAAGGGTGTGGTGGTGGCAGTGTGTGCCCACCACCTCCGTGAGCCTGGGTGCTGTATTTCTCGGGCATCTGCCACGGGGCCATCCTTGCAGCAGGAAAGACGACGGTCTCGCTGTGCAACCTGGCAGGCCTCCCAGGTGTTGGCAAGGCCCCGGACAAGAGTGCTCGTGGAGGCCATTTCCCATATGCCTCATATTTAAAAGGCATAAATCAAGCTAACTAACCGTTAAATGAAATATGCTCCATCCTCCTACCTTGTTAAATACACTGTGCATGCAACTAGGCCAGGATGGAATTTTGAATTGTGGGGCTCCTTGATGTTCTCTGCCAGGGTACGCAGTGTGGGAAACTCCACTTGCCTGTGCCCTAACCTGCTCCACCTGTTGTCATGTGAACACACACACACACACACACACACACACACACACACACACACCTGTAAAGTCTTATATACCTTACAATCAAGCTCGTTCAAGTCCCTACCAAGAGTTCACGATCAGGGGTTCACAAACAGGTCATTAGGGCATCTTCAAGAGGACAGCCCTGCGGTAGAGCCAGAAGAAGCTCAGCTCCATCTGGGTGGGCCTCCAGAGTGGAGGAAGGAGCCCCACAGATCTGTGGACTCACCCTGGTCCATGGGATAATGGGGAGAGGGCAGCAGAGGGCATCCTTTCAGGAATGGCGATCTCTATTCTCGATGTCAAAGCTGACACGCCACTGGTAGAGGGACAGGTTTTAAGGCTTTCATGGTGTTCAGTCTAGTGGCAAACTCAGGAGTTGACAGCCTGTCTGCCTTGAAAACACACTTCTCACACTCAAGAGTTAACACCACCAAGAGCAGTCTGTGGGGCTTCCATGTGGTTCATGTTACACAGACTGGGGAATAAAGAAGAAGTTGAGGGAGGGAAGGAAGGATAGGGGGATACTCCAACTGGCTGGCGCTGCACCCTTCTGGGCCCTGACACCCAGTGAGGCTGACCAGGGGCTTTTTAAGTGTCACACAAGGACCCACCCTGTGATGTCCTCCTCAACACAGCCCCGCTGCAGCCCCAGCTGCAGAAGGGGCTGAGTCAACCTCTGTTGATTTATTCAGGTTGCTTTCTCAGAAGCATCGAGGTCACCCGGGCTGCTTTGGGGCAGAGAGTGCCCTCCCACGGCCACCCCATCTGCCGCCTGCTGTGGAGATGCAGACAGTGCAAACTCACCCGGCACCATCCCTGTCAGCGTCGGTGCAGAGTAGCTGCCCTGTCCAGCGGGGGGAACGTGTGGAGGGTACCCAGGGAGAGTCGTGCTTGCCAAGTCGCGGCCTGAAGAATCAAAGCAACATATCACAGGGTGAGCATCTCTGCAGCCTGATGTTTGGCCACAGCTCCCTGGACATTCTACACGTTTGTCACTTCTGGAAGCTGAACACCAGCGTGCCCTATTCCCCATATCACTCATACATGCTTACACCACACACACACACACACACACACACACACACACACACCCCTCAGGGAGGTGGGACGATGTCAGTGCCACATACCAGGCTGTGTACTCATGTGACTTTGATTGCTCCGCCTCCACCTTGTTGCCCCTGATTGGTTCTCAGCATACGGTCCATCCTCCTCCTGCCACATGTAGCCCACCATTGCCTTCAAAGACAGGCGCACTCATCTCCCTCCTCCATTCCCAACAGCGTGTGGTGGGAGGACATCAGACCCTCCAGCCCCCATAGTTGGCCTTGTATTGCATTTTCCATCCCAAGACCCAGATCTTTTCCTTTATTTGGTGAACATGAAGGACCCTTCTCCCAACCCAATATTGCCTTGCCGCTGGCACACGGAGGTCAAGACCCTCCAGTGGAGGCTTGCAGCTCTTGGAGAGCAGGGATGACTTCCTGCCCATCCCCATGGCCCTGCTACAGAGGTGGCAATCCGTTAAGAGTCTTTCTCCTCAAGAATCATTGCAAGAAGAGCACGGAGAACTCCCTTTGGCTAGCCCACGCTGACATTTTGGAGACGGCAAAACAGACTTGAAGCAGAAGGGGAGCAAGTGGCTCAGATCTCAGGGGGACCCATGGCAGAGCAGGTACCTTGTGGCACATAGTAGGCATTTTGTGCATAAGTCTATAGGGTAACTAAACATCCAAAAGGCTTGTGGAAAGTAATCTCAAGGTAACTGAATGCCGTAAGCAAGGAAAGCACAACCGTGTTCCTGTCTGTGGCCCTTCAAACCCTCCTGCAGGTTATATATAACAGGGAGACCAGTGACGAGAAGCCAGACCTTGGCAAAGCACTGTGTTCTGTAGTTTCTGGACCCCAAGGGAAGCCACTGTCCTTGGGGAGAGAATTGGCAGCTTACCCTAAAAGGAAGGGGTGCGGCCACTGTCTGCCTCCCTGGGAAGTGGCGGGAAATAATGGAGGTTTGGAACTAGGTGTGGACATCGAGGATAGGGAGAGGGGGGACAGAAGGGCCCGTGGGCTGCACACTGAGTGACTGCTGATCATGCAGAGCCTAGATGGGTTTCAGAGCACTTCCCAGTCTTTCCTACAAACCAACTGCACACGTACGGCCTCTGAGCCCAGCCCCACTGGTGGCTAGAGGAGGGCCATCACTAACCAACGCCCCCCCCCAAAGAACCCACACCAGCATGTGGCATGAGAACGTGAGCATGCCCTGAGTGATTCCACAGTCCTTCTGGGGCCATCAGTCAGTGACCTTTCCCGAGGCGGCCCCATCTCACAGTCCACCAACCTTCCAGAACTTCCAGAACTCCAGAAGCCCCCAAAAGCGGTCCCCTGCCGCACCTGCTCATCACTTCCCTGGCTTTGAGCTGGCTCAGGTGTCTTTACATGAGATATCGGAGTTGAGCAAACATTCCAGGATTAACCTTGGAGTCCATCATCCTCGGCACGAGTTGCAACCAGGCAATCCTCTCAAGGAGGGACAAGACAGAAGCAAACAGTAGAGCTTGGAGGAGGTTTGTCCCATTAAGCTCCCTGTACCTCTCTGCAAAGTCAGGGCTCCAAGTCTTTGTACCCTAAGGTCAGAAGGGCACAGGGCTAAAATATTTTAGTGAGAGAAGCCACTCTGCTGGAGCAGCAAGGGTCTTGGGAGTCCGGGCAGTCCCCACCATTCCTGTTCAAGAAGAGAGTCAAGGGGGCTAGGGAGGCTCTTCTTGCCATTTTGCAGATGGAAAACTGAGATGTGGTGGAGGAAGAGGAGCAACCAGCTTGGGGTCCACTGGACACAGCAGACTCCTCAGCCCAGGGCCTACCCTAGCTCAGGGTCCTGAGAAGGGAGGGCAGTGTGTGCCCATGGAAACTCAGAGAGTCTGAGGGAGGTTGTCTGCCTCCTGGGATCCAGTTCATTCTTCAACAAGTGTCTGCCCTTTGGGTCGTGTTTGGTCAACAGTTTCTGCCGCTGGTACACAGTTTAAAACCTTGATCCTTCAAGCAAAGGTTCAGAAAATCAGAACCTTGGCAAAGAGCTCGACTCGGAAGGCCATAGGAAAAGCAATAAAAGCCACTTGGGGAGAGGAGGAGGAGGAAGGAATCAATAAATAAAAGGGGAAACAAAAAGATAGGCACAGCCAAGGGTCAGTGTTTGAAAATACAGTGACGACTATAGCCAGACCACCCCAAACAGCCCAGGTTTAAAACAAATCCCATAGATTTATCAAGATAAATGGGCCCAGGCTGCTGCTGAGGGCCACGTCTGGGTCCGTGGACCAGCTGCAGCTGAGCTCAGTGCTGATGTCTGTGGCCAGCATTACCACAGGGGGCCAAAGGAACCATGTGTGATGAAATCAGAGGGCCATGCTGAGCCAGGCCTGCCCTCGCTGACCCTGGGAAAACTGGCCCTGCCTCTCGCTGGACACTGCAGCCACAGAGCTGGCCCTGACCCTCATGGAAGAGCTGGCCCCTGTACTTGTGAGAGAAGGCCCCAACCTACACCACAGGCAAGGGAGAACTGACCCTGACGGCAAGGGCAAAGGGGAGCTTGCTCTGCCCCCTTGCCTGAGTCAGGCATCCCCAGTGGCCTGGACTGACCAGCTTAGCCACCATCCAGGCCCACAGCCAGGGCTCGGGTTGGCCTACCCTAACATCTGCTCCACCTAAGACCTGCTGGAGCTCATAAAGGGACTGGTCCCATGGAATGATACCCTCAGGATATCCCAGGGGAGATTCAGTGAGGACCCAGTGATGATGGTGTACCGGAAACCAGAGGCTTTGAACCAGACCAGTGACTTGCTGCAATGAACATCTGCTAGTGAAGCTGATGGGACAAAGTGTGTACTGTGTGACACACCGCTCCCAGTGCCACCAGGACGAATGGAGAGGTGTTGCACAGGCGGGAAAGACGGAGAAGGAAAGAGGTTTTTTTTTTTTTTAATTTTGTTCTTACTGGTTTGTTTGCTTGCTTTATTTTGGATTGATTTTTAAAATCTTCTTTTTGAAGGGCACTGTAGGGATGAGGAAAAGATAAAGGGGGACTGGGAGGTAGGCAGAATTAGGGTGCATGATGTGAAATTCTTAAAGAATTAATAAAGAAATTATGTTAAAATTTTAAAAAGATAAAGAATGAACAAAGATATAACTAAAATAATAAAAAGTAATATTCATAAAGAAGAATATGAACTGCATACTTATAAACATGAAATTCTGGACAAAAGGTTTGATTTTTCTAGGAAAACATAAACTACCATAATTAACACAAGAGCAGCTAGAAAATACCAGCGGCCTCATAGTGCTGGGAGAAGTAGAACAAATGTCTTTATTAAACAATAAATGCCTTGTCCACTTAGCTTCCTGAGCAAGTCTCTATTTGTTCTCGTTTGGGGGAAATTGCTTTAAATCTTCAGAGGATATATTCTTATGTTATTAAATGCCCTAGTCTATAAACCAAGAGAGTCTTCCCAATTCATTCCACCAACCTGGCCTAACTGTGATGTAAGCACTTAGCAGACACATCAGAAGGATTAAGGGTTAAAGGTCAGTATCATGACTCACTCACGTGGTACTAAGTTACTTCGTTCTTGCTGCTGTCAACAGTGGGAGCAAATGACCACTATCACGCCGATCTGGCACCTCGGGGGAGGCAACGAAAGGCTAGGACCAAACGAGTTTCATTCCAGGTATGAAAGGATGGTTCAGTATCAACATATTGGTTAGAACTTCCTATCACTATTTAAAAAAAAACAACTGGCCGTGTGAAAGAGATGAAAAAGACACTGGCTACTATCCAAACTTCGTTCTTTATATGTTAGTAAATAAGATCGAAGTACACTCTGGCCTTACACTGATTTTAAAATAGTCAATATTTTATATTATACTTCATTGTTGAAACACTTGGAGGATTTCCTATCAAAGCCAAGAATGTGACAAGGAAATTTATTAGCAAGGGAAGTTATTCTGAAAGTCTCAGGCAATACAATAAGACAAGAGGAGTTGCCGGAGGGTGCGGGGAAATGGCAACCAGAACTAGCCAGCTGGATTTGCTTTGGGCCTGGAAAAGTAGCTCCCCTGCTAGAGCCAGGGAAAGAGCTGGTGGGACTGTCCAGTCATGGATGGTGTCTGTAGCCTGAAAGACTAGCTCCCTCCACCTCTGACATTAAGAAATCTTCAGCTTAGTTTTCTGCTGCTTCCTCAATCTGAGCTTCCCCAGCTCCGTCAACACCTGCCAGTCGCCAACCTGCTTGCACCCTCAAACCTTTCCTCAGGGGGTTCCCATTTCAAGTAGCCTTCCTCAGGTTCCTACCCATTCGACGTCCAGTCCAGCCCCAAGTCACCTGCAGGAGTTTGCTTTTCCATACAGCCTTTTCTGGTCCTTCAGAAGGTTTCCTGTCCCCTATCCCAGAGCAATGGAAACACACTGGAGGGGAATGGACAAAGCTTGCTTTGCCACTGGACACTCTCAACACGTTAACACCATTGTCCTAACAATGTTGTGGAAGGGGAAGGTGGAGGAAGGGTGGATAAGTAACCTATGCACTATGGCCCACCTAGCAGGAAGCAGGGCTCAGCTTTGAGTCCAGGGCTCTGGCTCTCAGCCTGAGCCTCTCTACTGGTACTGAGGGGTGCTGGGACTGTGGGGAGCAGTGAGAAAGGGTGGCTGGCAACTGGGAGGGCGAGTTGATAAGGTGGACAGCAGGACCAGATGAGCAGGTGACACAGCAGAGAGGGAGGAGGCCTTTGACAGGCCACTGGAAGTCACAATGGAGGTGGCTGTCAGTCTCCAGGGAAGAAGCCATGTGCTGCCCAGGACAGGGCTGTATGACACTGGATACACAACACTCACTAGCACTTAGGAGGGGAAGACA